GTGATTGCTAGTATCACTCAGCCCTCTGTGAACAGTAAACAGCCATCAGTGTGCTAATGACCCATTGTTAGGCTGATGGTCCTTCTTGAGCATGTGATCAGCTGGTTTTGGTTGTCAGCAGCAAACTGGTTGATCCACTCTGAGACTGTGCTATTTATAAGACTGAGCTGAATACAGCACCTCAGACTGAGGAAGTCTTTCGGATGAAAGACGCAACGTTTCTACATTTTTTTTTGTTTTGTTTTGCTTTGTTTTTTGAATGTCCAAAGGACCAGACTTAACTTTTTTAGATTTTTCTACCTGGATTATTGAGCATACATCAGGAAACATCAGGTAAATTTATAGTTTTGAAGTAAATGTGCTTATTACACAAAATTAAAGATTTTTCTGGTGTTCTACTCTCGTACAGTAACATTAGGAGCCTGAAAAGTGGATTTTAGCTAGTTAACCTTGTTTGTACAGATTATGCAGATGACTGTGCTATTTGTTAGCATGGATTTTTTATTGCAAATGTCAACATCTGTTACAAAACAGTTTTACCTTGAGAGAGAGAGAGAGAGATAGAGATAGAGAGAAAGAGGTAGAGAAAGAGAGAGATCTCTGATAGCCAAACCAGCAATAGCTAAGATGCTAACGGAGATGCTGCAGCTGGGCAAATCATCGCTGATCGACCGCGTGCACCAGACAGCAGGAGGGGATCAGACGATAAACCAAGAGTTATTGTGGCCAGGCTGTGTTATTATTGTGTGGAGATGTTCAGAATCAGATCAGAATCAGAATAAGCTTTATTATCATTGTACCGAGATGCAGCGAGAATATGTCCGTGCAGTCGTCTGAAAGATGGGCAGAGTGCACATAGCTGCTGCTATGATAACGCGGCCTCTTATTGCAGTGCATTCACAGTTGTGGCCCGCTTCACTTCAAGGCATCAATGATCTTCATCACAGCTGACTACACTCCAGACGTGGCAAAGGCATGAGCAGCATTCACGGTAGAGCTGTCATTTCTAACCAGGAGCCCGGCCCTGCCCGACCCGGATTCGTACCGGGCCGGGCCATAATAATGTGCTTAAAATTTGGGCCAGTATCAGGCTTTTTATTGCGTCAGGAACGCGTGCAGTCTACAATCCAATATATGCAAACATGGCTTGCCATACTGCACCTGCCGCACATGGCCATTTGACCGCGTGCTGACCAGCCGGTTGAACGAGGTAAAAAGTTCAGTTAAGCTTCAGATGGACTACTGCCAGTGACCCATCAGCCTAAGTGGATGTTCATTCAGCCGCTGCACTCAGCAGACGCGCACAGCAGAGACCCAAACAGGTGAGATCACAAAATATCTGACATGTCAGAGCAGGATTCAGTGCAGGCAGAAGCAGTGGAAGCATTTAATGCGCTGTGACGGCTCTTCTGCGCCCTCAGCCACGCGCATCCGCCAACCGTTAATAATAGTTGGTGGTATAAGCAGTCAAAGCTTAATTAAAAATGTTGGGAGGTTTTCTGGGTTTGGACCTGTAATTACTGTTAATTCGTCAGATTGGGTTCCGAAATGATGGCTACGGGCTGGGGCCGGGTTGGTTCAGATTATTTGGACCAGAGTGCAACTCTAATTCACGGAGGTGAAGCGACTCTTTCGGAACCAACCAGTAGTTCAGTATGGTATTCTTTTTTCCTGCACGGCTTCATATCATGCATGGAGGGATGGACAAAGTGTTTTTTGACTCGGATGAAACTATGGAATACGTCAGGAGGAATATTGTTTCAGCAACGGGCAGCGAGGATCGAAAGAAACCATAGGACCGGCCTCCCTCAACCATTATTCTTAAGCTTAGGCTTGACAATATTTGACTGTTTGGACCTTTAATGGTGGTATGTACAACATTTATATTGGAGATTATATTTGTATTGGAGGACGATTGTACAGCATTGGCGCTCTGAATTGATTACCATAAATCCTGGTCTATAGTGTGCACCCTAAAATATGAGCATTGTTTTAGATACACGTTTGATATTTACGGTAATATTTGTAGCCTTTTTCATTGTTGTTTCTTTTCATGTTTGTTTGTTTGTTTGTTTGTTTGTTTGTTTTATATCATATGTGGGCAGATGGGAGCCAAGATGGTCAGATTGTGTTCTCCAGGATAAGCACAAATGTGTGGATTTTGAGTTGACAGTAGTTTTTGTTCTCTCCGTGTTTGAGTAGGAGAGAGCGGAGGCTATTTTCAGCTCAAATTTTTTGGTTTTTGTTGTTTTTTTTGTCTTCTATCAGGTACTGGCTAGTAATATTTTGTGTGTAAATAATATCTCACTGTTCAACTATGACCAGTGTTAAGGATGTTAGCCGTTCTAGTGGCTGTCCAGTTAATTGTGTAAACTGGAATGTGAAGTCCCTTAACGATCCATTAAAATTTAAAAAAAATTGAAGCAGCTGAACACTGATATTGCCGTTTTACAGGAGACCCACGTGCGTCTGCAGACAGTGGAAAGTTTGTTTAAAAAAATGGTCTGGTCAGGTGTTTTAATCTAATTTTCAATCCAAATCAAGAGGGGTAGCTATTATAGTTGGAAAGCAGGTACAATTTACAGCCTCAAATGTACAAACTGACACTGCCAGGTGGTATGTTATAGTGGTGGGGAAATTATAGACACTGCCAGTGATCTTGGTTTTGGTATATGCTCCCAACTGGGACTCTACATTTTTTAACGATCTCTTTTCAAACATACCGAATATATCAACACATAACCTTGTCATTGGTGGCAACACAAATCACAAATTGTGTGCTTTCATCTCTTGACCATAATTCAATGGGAAAAACTACCCTGACTAAGTCCACTCAGTCAATCAACTCATTCCTTGAACTGTATGGCGTGGCTTATGTGTGGCACTTCTGTAATCCTACTTTAAGATCATACTCATTTTTCCCCCCAGTTCATAAGATGTACTCCCAAATTGACTACTTGTTCCTTGATAAACAAATTCTGCCTTTAGTGAAAACATGACTATGGGGCGATGGTCATCTCGGAACATGGTCCACTTATTATGAAACTGCTTATCCCAGTCACAAAATCTGTATATGTTCCTTGGAGATTCAACTCCTTACTCTTATCAAAGGAAGGCTTTATCAAATTTCTTACATCTGAAATTGAATTCTTTCTTGAAGTTAACCGGACACCAGGGATGCCACTCTGTACTGTCTGGGAGGCATTAATGGTCTGCCTGAGGAGTCAAATTATTTTTTATTGTGCAGACAAAAAGAAGAAGGGTTTGGTATGGTTAAGACAGTTAATGGATGAGATATTACAATTACACAGAAAATATAGCCACTCCCCCTCACAAGATTTAATGAAAAACCGTTTGTTCCTCCAAACTGAATTTAAAACTTGGTCCACTCAACAGGCAGAATATTTAATTTCTAAATCTAGACAGGGTTGCTATGAACACGGTGAAAGGGCTCACCCATTTGCTCGCGCATCAGCTATGGTGACAGTCAGCCAACCAAACTGTTCCAATAAAAAATAACGACCAAGGAGCTGCATGTTTACGTTTTAGTAAATTCTACCAATCATTGTATATGACTGAGTCATCAGCTAGCCTATCGGATTTAGAGAACTTTTTAAAGATGTTAAACTTCCCTCAGTGAATCTTGATCTTGCTAAAGATTTTGAGGAGTAGCTGAGATAAACTTAGCAATCAGTGATATGCAAAATGTGAAATCCCCAGGACCTGGCTTCCCATCTGAGGTTTTAAAGACATTTTCAAATCTACTTTTACCATTACATGTCTTTTCACATGTTTGTGTTTGAAGAGTCAGTTGCTGCACAGCTATTGCCACTGTCCATGCATCAAGCTATACGCTCACTGTTACCTAAGAAGAATAAAGATCCTCTAAATTGCAGCTCATACCAACTTAGCTCACTTTTAAATACTGACATCAAAATCCTTGCAAAGATCCTGGGAAAACGACTTGAGCAGGTGGTCCCTACAATTGTCCCACCTGACCAGATGAGGTTTGTTAAAAACCGTCAGGTTTTCTTCAATGTTAGGCAGCTGCTTGGTGTGTTGTACACTCCTAGTCTGCCCAATCACACCTGTGATGAAGTAATTCTCTCACTGGACACTGAGAAGGCATTTGTCTGAGTGGAGTTATCTGTTCGAAACTTTAAAGCTATTTAAATTTGGTCCCAAATTCATATCAGGGGTAAGGTTGATATATACCTCCCCAATGGCAGCAGTCCCCACTAACTGTAACATATCCAGTTACTTCGAATTGCAACGAGGTATGAGACAGGGGTGCCCACTCTCACTGCTTCTTTTTGCTTTAGACCTGATGACATACCAGTGGAGGTTTGGAAATGTTTTGGAGAGATGGAAGTGAGGTTTTTGACTCTAATATTCAATGGCATATTTGAGGATGAGAAAATGCCCGAGGAATTGAGGAGAAGTGTGCTGGTGCCCGTTTTTAAGAACAAGGGTGATGTACAGAGTTGTAGCAACTACAGGAGAAATAAGTTGATGAGTCACACAATGAAGATCTGGGAGACAGTTGTAAAAGCTAGACTTAGATGAGAGGTAACTATTTGTGAGCAGCAGTATGGTTTCATACCAAGAAAGAGCACCACAGATGCCATCTTTGCTCTGAAGATGCTGATGGAGAAGTAGAGAGAGAGTCAGAAAGAACTCCATTGTATCTTTATGGATTTAGAAAAAACATATGACAGGGTGCCGAGGGAGGAGGTGTGGTATTGCATGAGGAAATCTGGAGTGGCAGAGAAGTATGTTAGACTGGTACAAGACATGTATGAGAACAGCAGGACAGTGGTGCGATGTGCTGTAAACGTGACAGATAGCTTCAAGGTGGAGGTGGGATTGCATCAAGGATCGGCTCTGAGCCCCTTCTTGTTTGCTCTAGTGATGGACCGATTAACAGATGAGGTCAGGCATGAATTCCCATGGACTATGATGTTTGCAGATGACATTGTGATCTGTGGTGAGAACAGGAAACGGGTGGAAGGGAACTTGAAAGAAGCGGAATGAAAGTCAGCCGTAGTAAGGCAGAGTACATGTGTGTGAATGAGAGGGAGGCCAGTGTAACAGTAAAGCTACACGGAGCAGAGGTCACAAAGGTGCAGGACTTCAAGTACTTGGGGTCCACTGTCCAGGAAAATGGGGAGTGTGGTAAAGAGGAGAAAAGGGAGTCCAGGCATGATGGAATGGATGGAGAAAAGTTCCAGGAGTGATTTGTGACAAAAGGGTGTCAGCAAAGGTCAAAGGAAAAGTTTGCAAGACAGTTGTGAGACCAGCTATGTTGTATGGTCTGGAGACAGTGGTGCTGACAAAAAGACAGAAGAAAGAACTGGAAGTGATGGAAATGAAGATGTTGAGGTTTTCCTTAGGAGTGACAAGGATGGATAAGATTAGGAATTAGATCATCAGAGGTACAGCACAGGTTGAACAACTTGGAGATAAAGTTAGAGAGGCCACACTGAGATGGTTTGGACATGTCCAGAGGAGAGACAGTGGATATATTGGTAGAAGGATGATAGAAATGCAGCTGCCAGGAAAAATACAAAGAGGAATGCCAAAGAGGAAATATATGGCTGCAGTTAGAGAGAACATGGAGGTAGTTGGAGGGAGGACAGAGGATGCAGAGGACAGATTGAGATGGAGGATGACTCGCAGTGGCGACCCCAAAGAGGGAAAAGCCGAAAGAAGAAGACTCTGTCTGAGACATACTGTAATTCAATTCAAGGTGGTGCACCAGCTGCACTGGTCTAAAGACAAGTTGTCCAAGATCAAAGCTGACCTGGACCCTGCATGTAATCGTTGTAAACAAACTCCAGCTATACTCTTGTATACATTCTGGGCCTGTCCCAAATTGCTGACCTTTTGGAAATCTATTTTTGACACCTTATCTTGGATATGTGGCAAAACTGTGCACCCATCATCATTCATCTTACTGTTTGGATACATCCATCAGCAAGTACGAGAAGGATGTGATTGCTTTTGGCTCTCTTCTGGCCAGGAGGCTCATTTTGTGCAATTGGAAGGACCCACACCCCCTAGCGTATGTACATTGAATAAAAGAAGTCATGTACCATATCCATCAACGCCTGTTTAGACTATTTATGTATGTGTGACTGGTTCAGTGTGGGAAGGGTGGGATGGGGATTTGGTTCTGTGTTCTTTTATTTTTTATGTGTGTTTGTGTTAAAAAAAAATAGTAGTAAAAATACTTTTTAAAAAAATCTTCTCCTGTCATCGAGTCATTCTTTTTATTTAAGTAAGTTTGGAGAAAATATTTTCTCCAACATGCAATCAGGTTATTTTAGATCTGACATGCATCACTAAATGACTAATAGTTCTCAAGGAAAACAACAAATGTGGAAAACTATATTAAACTGTAATCACCAGAAATGTTCAATTTGTGTATACAGAATAAGGTTGAAAAAGAAGCCTTTGCAACATGCCAAAAGGAAAAGCAGCATGACCCGATCAACAACAAGGAAGCCATGTTTGTGTATTGAGAAAATCTCACTTTTTTAATTTTTGTCTCTAGGCTCCCTATGTGGACGTGATCTGTTTGAACACCTACTTCGCCTGGTACTTTGATTCAGGCCAGCTGGAGGTCATCCCTTTCCAAGTCAAAACTCAACATGAGAGCTGGTATAAAAAGTACAAGAAGCCCATCATCCAGACAGAATATGGAGCAGATGCAGTGGCGGGGCTTCATTTTGTGAGTATTCTTGCACATATACACTATATAAAAACTATTTTGACACACCTGGTATTTGGCAGCGCAACGGTTCAGTGGTTGGCACTGTTGCCTCATGGCAAGAAGGTCCTGGGTTCAATCCCCGGTTGGACCTGTGGTCTTTCTGTGTGGAGTTTGTGTGTTCTTCTCGTGCTTGCGTAGGTTTTCTCTGGGTACTCCGGTTTCCTCCCACAGGACAAAAACATGCATGTTAGGCTGTCTTCAGGCCCAGGCCTCCCCTGCAAAAAGAGATCTGTGATCTCAATGGGATTTGCCTGGTTAAATAAATAAAAGTAATTTGATGAATTCAGGTGTTTCAGTAAGACTCATTGTTGCAGGTGTATTGCCATGCAGTCATCATTTGAAAACATTTATGATATATAAAATGGGTTGTTCTGAGGGGCTCAGTGGCCTTCAGTGTAGTACTTTGATAGGATTAAACCATTGTTGTAAGATGGTTTGTAAAAATTAATTCCTTTTTTGGATATTACATGGTCAACAGTAAGTTATATTACTGAAAGGACAGCCTTCTCAATTACTTTTATATTAGGAGGCTGGGGTAATTTGCCAACATAACACATACCGTATTTTCCACCGTACATGTCGCACCATCCTATAAGTTGCATCAGTCCAAATATGTCTGAAAAAGTGGAAAAATCCATAAATATGTTGCTTCGCC